TCGGTTTTCCTGGTCGTCTGCCCACGAGGCGTCGCTGTAAACGACGAGATCGAGCGATTCCTTGCTCCGGAACCGGAGGCCGAAGTGAGCGGTTTTGCTGAGATAGCGAAAGAGCCTCTTCACGGCCGTCCAGTCCTGCTCTGTCGGCGCAGCGACTGCTTGCGCCAGCGCGCGAACAGCGGCCGCAATGTCGGGCCGGGTAAGCTGGGTTAGGTACTGCAACGCTCCCACCGCTGACTGGAACCGAGGGATGTCGCCAAAGGGCGGCGACGACGGATCCGGTCCCGACGACGACGACTTCTCCATTGGCGTAGCAGTTTAGGAGCGAATCGATCCGTCACTCAAGTAGCGAGCGATGATCGAGTCGATGTACTTCTTCTGGTGAAGCACAATCCCTTCGTCGGTGAAGACGACCTGAATCGAGAGAAAAGTCGAAACGCGACCGAGCCTCTTGAGCTTGTAGACCTTGTTGAGCAAGTCGAGCTCGAGGTCGATGGTCTCTTGCGAGTCCGCGAGGATGAGCCCGTCATCGACGTAAAGAACGACGATAACCCTCCTCCCATCGACCGTCTTGGTGTAGAGACACGCGTCGGACTTCGCCTTTTCGAACCCACGCTTCGTCATGAGCGTGTCGACCGCGGCGTACCACTGCCTCGGCGCCTGCTTGGTTCCGTACATCGCTCCGACGAGCTTGAGAATGTCGCCAGGAGCGGACTTGCCCGGATAGCCCGGAGGAATCTTGATGTAGACATCCTCCGTCATCTTGCCATTGAGGAACGCAGTGTCGAAGTCGAAGGATTCGATCTTGAGTCCCTCCGAAGCAGCGAGAGCGAAGAGCGCCCAAATCGTCGACATTCTGGCGACCGGGGCGAACGTCTCGTTGAAGTCGATCCCCGGTCGCTGCGCAAAGCCCTGCGCCACCAGGCGAGCCTTGTACCGCAAGATGCGGCCGTGATTGTCGGTCTTGGTGGCGAACACCCAAGTGGTCCCGAGAGCGCGGCAACCCGGCGGAAGCTTCGAAAGCTTCAGCACGCCGTGCTGGTCAAACGCCTCCCACTCGGTGTCGACTGCGTCACGCCAGTGGTCGCGGTCCTTGTGCGCCATTGCCTCGGCATACGACTTCGGCACTTCCGGCATCGCGACGCCGACCAGGAGGTCACTCTCCTCCCGAGTCTCGTCCGCCGTAGCCATCTTGTCGTCCTCGTCCAAGACTTTCGTCAACATGACGAAAACAGGCGAGTCGTGCTCGCGTGAGACACCCCCAAAGGCGGCAGTCGTGCGACGACGCGAACCCTCGATGATGTTGGACTCGTCGATTTCCTCGTACCGACCCGGGTTCCGGCCGGTCAAGTACGGGCGGTACTCGTACCCGTCTCCCACCGGCGGAGCCGCGACGGGCTTCGGGGGCGGGACTTGCACCTCCTTCGGCGCGACTGCGGGCGATTCCTTCGCCGGCAGGTCCTCGGGGGTGAACACCTCCGCGGACATCCTTGTGAACGCGACGTGTCGGCTGACCACGACGCGACCGAGTTCCTCAACGTACACCTTGTAATTGTAGTCGGTGTCGTACCCGACGAGAAACCCTTTGACAGCGGTATCGTCGAGTTTCGAGCGAAGCGCCTTGTCGACATGGACGAAAGCGGTCGCTCCGAACGGCTTGAGGTGCTTGACGCTCGGCTTCTTGCCGTGCAAGATCTCGTACGGCGTCTTGCCCGGGATCCTCGGGTGCGGCATGCGGTTCGAGACGAAGGTGACGTAGCTGAGCGCGTGCGACCACCACTCCTTCTCGACCTTAGCCGCCTTGAGAATCGTCCGGACACGAGTCATCGCAGACCCGTTCATGCGCTCGACCTGGCCGTTCTGTTCCGGCGTGTACGGCGCCGTCCGTTCGTGCGTGATGCCGGACTCCTCCAGAATCGCGACAAGCGCCTTCGAGATAAACTCGCTGCCATTGTCGCTCCGAACGATGGCGACCTTCGCTCCGTAGAGGTTCTCGACGTTCTTGAGGAACCTCTTCCAGACGTCGCAAACCGAGCGGGCGTCCTTCCTCGGAAGAGCGAAAGTCCACTTCGCCGTCGAGTACTGATCGACGATAGCGAAGTAGATCTGGTTCCCGTCGACGTCCGGGTGCTCCACGAAGCCGAGATCGACGAACAGTCGATAGAACGGACGCGGAGCCGGCGTCGAGAGGGTCTTGAAAGGCGAGCGACGAGACTTCTCGAGAAGACAGTCTTCGCACTCCTTCTTGATCCGGTCCAAGAGCTTGAAGCCCTCGCAGCAGCCGGACCGTTCCATCTCGAGAATCGAGTTGAGACCGGGATGGCCAAGGTTCTGGTGCGCCTCCATGAGCGAGACTGCTCCGGAGTCCCGAGTCGAGCCGGCGAGGGTCGATTCGGTCGCCAACTTTGCCGGTTCAGGCGCGAGCGGGACGAGGTACGGGGTGCCGGGGACCGTAGAGAAGACCTTCTTGTCTCCCTTCCACACGGTAGCGACATCGTCCTTGAAAATCGTGTGGCACCCTTTCGCGCCGAGCGCCTTGACCGAGAGAAGTCCGGTCGTCGCTCCCAGGAGGTACCAAACGCGCGACAAGTCGAGTCGCACGCCCGTGTCGAGGGTGAGCGACTTCAACCCGTAGCCCGGGCATTCGACAAAGACGCCGTTCGCAACTTCGACACGAAGGCGACCCGGCTGGAAGTTGTCGAGCTCGTCTCGACGCCCGCTGAAGTTGCGTCCAGCGCCCGAGTCGACAGCCCACTGTTCTTGGGAGACCGACGACGTCTTGAGCGCCTCCGTGTCGGACAGAGCGAGGAGGGAGAAGACCTCCTCGACGACGGCGCCCTTCTTGGCGTCCTCCTTTTTCGGAGCGCGGCACTTGTTCTTGTAGTGCCCCTTCTTCCCGCAGTTGTGGCAGACAACCTGCGAGACGTCGGTCTTGGCCTGCAGCGCACCGAGGTTCGACCGTTTCGTCGACGACGACGACGACGGATTGTCGAGTTTGCGACGCTCGTACTCGGCGAGAACCTTGGCGATCTCCTCCTCGGAAGTCGGCTTCGACTCCGAGTTCATCGTCGCGGCATCGATCATGATCCGGACGTTTTGCCAGGACGAGGGGAGCGACATGAGGAGGTAGACGACGAGATGATCGTCTTTGACCGGCTCGTCGATTTGAGCGAGATCCGTAGCGGTGTTGACCATGTACGCAATGTGCTCCTCCAAATCGTCGCCGTCCTTGTACCTCGTGTTGACGAGACGCTCGAGAAGCGTGTAGAGAGCGGCCTGACCGTTCTTCTGATGCACCTTTTTGAGCGCCTCCCACGCCTCGTGCGCCGTTTCCTTCGACTTGATGTGGATCATCTGGGTCGCGGTGACGGCGGAGGTGATGGCAAGAAACGCAGCTGCGTCGTTCTTGTCCCACTCGCGCATCTCCTCCCGACGTGCAGCAGCAGCGGCGATCGTCTCAGGTGTCGTGCCTGCTGCCAACACCGACGGCCGCTCGTCGTCGCCGCGTACGATATCCCACAGTCCCTTGGACTTGAAGTATTGTCGCATCGGCAACGTCCAGTTCGAGTAGCCGGCTGACCCCGAGAGCTTGGGGAAGCCGAACTTGGTGCTCGACTGGTCGGACTGCATGAGGCTCATAACCTCTCACTAGAGGCTTCCGAGAGGCTGCTCGGACTCGTCAGCTCTGCTAGTGAACGTGCAATGCAAACTAACTCACCTGCTCGGACTCGTCAGCTCTGCTAGTGAACGTGCAGAGCTCGAGAGTCTCGCGAGCAGGCGCAAGTTCTACACTGAAGCGCTCATCGCCACTCCGCTCAACCACGCTGACCTCCGTTCCTGACACACAAGCGTCTCCTCGGCTTGTAGATAAGATTGCGCATGAAATAAAGCTTGTCTCTGATTTGTTGGCTCGACGCGTACCATTCTCGTAGCAGAGCAGCGGCTATAGTCGTCGACTAAGCGCAAACACTCGAGAGCCAACAGGGAGAAGGTAAGTGTCACTCGCAGCGGTCTCTGTCCGGCGCAGCGTGCTCCAGCTTTCCTTCTTGGTTGAAGCCCGTGCCCTACTTTGCAAGCTCATCTAGGCATGTTCTATAGCTGGTTGCGGGAACAAGCGTGGCTGGGCGAGGTGACCAAAGGCAAAACCTACCCAAGGGGGTGGAGAGGAAAAGAGCGTCTCGTCCGCTTGCTTGCTCCAAAGTGTCCTTGGGTGACGCCTCTACCACACACGTACTCTGCTCTGTCTACTTGTGTATAGCGTTACAGCTAGTAGCGAAAGGCAGGATTCCCTGGTCCGGATCATCTTCCTCGCGGTGGCGGTGATGACAGTGTCCGCGCAAGGACAGCCGGAGATTAGCATTCACTGCGACATCGTGAGGCACACATTAGTCACAACATGCTGCAAATGCTTCGGTCCCTTCGGAGCAGAGAGGTGTCCGGAGGCGGAGAAGTAGTCGTCTGCAGTTCACGTGGCTCAATCCGCTGGGTTGCGCTCGGACAACCTCGGTGAGCGGTTCTTTGGCTGTGGAGTTTGCGGTAGCGCTTATGAGTTGTATCTGACCCGTACATAAAGGCTGATTGTCTTTGGTTCGGCCAAACAGGCGAGTCTGCCAAAGTCTGGGAAGGTAGCGCTCGGATTCGGGAAATGTCTGGAGCCCGCGACGTTAGCGCCTCTGCAGTCTCGGATTTGAGTGTATCTGGGTCTCTATACCTGTAGAGACGTCTGTCTGTACATCTGGCTGGCCCGGGGGGTCAGTCGGGATCGGAGGTTGGATTTGAGGGTTTCGGGCTTTTCCTGCTCCTGAGGGCCTTTGACCTGGGCCGGAGGCCCCGGCTCGGGCTCGTACATGCATAAGGAGCATAGCAGCACATAGATTGACCCACTCCGAGGTGTCTATAGAGCGTTTTGTTGCTCTTTCCTTGCCAGGACGCGTGTTTGAGCTGGCAAAAAGCTGGCTTCTTTACGTCGCTAAGCTTGCAGGTTCAGGCAGCAAAAGAAACGTCCTCGGGCGGGGTCGAACCGCCGACCTCTCGATGGATGACTGAGGCTACCGGAGCAGGGTAACAGTCGAACGCTCTAACCAACTGAGCTACGAAGACGGATGCTCTGACCACTAGCCCGAGGCTGCCGTACGCGACTCCACAGCGCCCCCTTTTCCTCCTCTTTCCGCGAGTCGAGCGGGTCCGTTGGGTCGTGATTGGAGCGGGAGGAGGTGCTTTCGGGAGACAGCGAATGTTCCTGTGTACAGGCGTTCACTGATGACCGGGCGTGTGTAGGGGCTGCAGAGTGTTGCTATACACGCAGACGACAGAGCTGAAAGGTTTTGGGCGAGTCGAGCGATCAAATTTCGCACTCCTGCCGCAAACGGAAATTCCCACCGAGCTGGACACGTTCGGAGCACGGTTCTCGCAAGCCTGCCTCGTAGAGCTAACAAATAGTCATGTGTAGACCCTCGACTGAGCTCGTCAGGCGCCGGCGGAAGCGCGCAAGCGTACGAAACGGGTACATGCTCTCCTCGACCTGCGGATTCCCGATGAGCAAAATGTCGGCCAAATCTTGCTTCGGTCGCCTCGGACGAGGCTGCACCAGTGATTGATCTGTCTCGGCACCGTGTATGCGCCTGGCGCACGCCTCACAGACCTGTGGCAGCGCTACAGTGGCAGCCCAAATTCCGACGCAGGTTTTGGCCTTCTCAAGAGGAAGACTTGCGCGGGGCAACTTCCAGCACCTGTACAGCGCTGTGAGTATCGACGATAGTGATCCTGAAGGTGTGATGGCTGTGTCGAAGGCTCTAACAGGTGGTAGGCCGTTGCACACGCAGGCTCCGAGGACAATCTCTTCCGCTGGGTGAAACACTTTGTCGTTCAAGTCTGACCTACCGATGCTTATATGTTGACTGCTGAGAGCTTCATGTTCAGGAACACCTCGCGTGATCTGCAGGGCGTCGTCAGAGGAACTTCAAGAAAGAGGCGAGCAGTGTCAGAGGGAAGGGAAGTTGATGAGAGCCGAAGCGGATTGCTTTCGCGAAATGCGCCGAAGACGCCGGCGGCGGGCGCAGTAGTACAGTTGACATCTTCAGCCTATCTCACATCGCTCGCGGATGTCCAGCTTTCGTTCAATGGCTCGCCCCTCAAGTCCACCGCAAGGTCGACAATACTGGAATAACGTGGAGCGAAAAACGCAGATTGTACTGGTCGCCTCGTCGGCGCTCGGTAAGGAACAAGAGCTTTTGGGGATGATTGATGGACTATTCGGAAGGAACGAGGGAGGAGAATCCGGATCTCGAGCGCTGCACGAGTCTAAGCGGTACCAACGCTGTGCAGAAGGAGCACAAGTGCGGGGAAACGCAGGACGGCGCCTCTTAGCTAGCGGGATGGCCACGTCAAGCGCGTGACTGGAGCAATTGGGAGCAGGCATCAAACATGATGATGAGCCAAAATGTGTGACACGGCGAAACGCGGAGCGAGCAAAAGCCGGAGAGAATCCGAGGTGAGCTCGCCGAGCAGGCGAAGCACAAGTCGATAACTTCGCGCCTCAGATAGGGCTCAGTACTCGCAGCTACGGTCCACCAGTCTGACAACGACAATTCGGCAATGAGCGGAAGGCTTGGTCGGTTCTCGCGCTCTTCCGGAGAAGGCGATCGCGCCTCAAAGCGGACCTCAGTCCCGCGCATGCGGCTCAATGCCAGCTATATCGCCGGTGATGCGGAGGGCCCGTGGAATCGGAAGCGCTCTGGGTAAAGAAGTGTGCCAAACTAAACAAAAGTGTGCTGCACCTCGAAGCTAAGTGGCTTACCTAGCCAGCGCATGTGACAGCTGCTTGCATTTCCCAACTCGGCCCTGTCCGTCTGAAGCTGCCTGCTCGTCAATATCAATCCCAACCATTTTGGAGCCGTAAGAGCTTCCTCTCGTGAGCGATGGAGGATCACGAAGAGCGGACAAGGAGCAACTGAGGCGGAGTCGCGTTGCTGTTGCTGCGCGGCACAGAAAATGCGACCGCGAGTCAGCACAATCATCTTCCCCCTCCTTGTCACACATACTGCATACCACTGTCAGCCGCTCTATAGATAAGTGTTTAGATCTGCACTGCTCGGGATACCTCCCTCTCGCGGAATGTCCAGCCTGCATCGCTCGCCTCCTTGTTTTCGGACGACAGGCCCCAACGTGCAGACGCTACAGCAGCTCGAGAAAAAGACTGCGCATACTTTACCACAGAGTTCCTCGCCAGCCATTGGCGTCGGGACTCGCCGAGCGATGGCCGGCCCAGAGATCTGAGCTCCGGAGGCGCAGCGGAACGATTTCGCTGAAAACGTGCATCCACAGTCTCTCTTGTCAATCAAGGAGTCCTTGCATAGCTCACATGCCCACTTGTACATACCGCTGAGAAAGTCCGGAACTCCCGGAACCTCGCGCCAGTCCACGACCCAACGGACCCGCTCGACTCGCGGAAAGAGGAGGAAAAGGGGGCGCTGTGGAGTCGCGTACGGCAGCCTCGGGCTAGTGGTCAGAGCATCCGTCTTCGTAGCTCAGTTGGTTAGAGCGTTCGACTGTTACCCTGCTCCGGTAGCCTCAGTCATCCATCGAGAGGTCGGCGGTTCTCAGTCTCGACAAGCTCGGAGTTTCACGTGAAGATGCACGCGCGGGCTCTACATGCGCATACGGGCGCATTCCGCCTCGCCCTGCCACAAGCTGACTCTAGACTATACGGTACAATGTATACGCTACGTCGCTCAACCTAACGAGATCGATTCACCCAGTATTCACCCCCCGTCCCTCAGCTGCAGGAGTGACGTCGCCATTTCGCCCCACTTCGATCCCTCAGGCGGCAGCTCTGTCGATCGGCGGGTTGAGCGCATGTACTTGCAGACCGCTACACGCAGCGCAAGGACAGCGATACAAGGGCAGCGGAGCATGTACGCGGCAGCAGCAGCTTCGGGCGGACATCCATCCTCAGCAGGACCGCGTCAAGCTCCGACGCAGGGACACCAGCAGCCAGCTGGGACCGATCCGAAACCGCAATGGCGACAACCGCATCCGGACCACAAGCCGCACCGGTACCGCCCGACGACCAAGCACGCCGAGGAGCACGTCTATGTCCTGACGCTCCGCCTCTCGAATTCCCTTCACGACACCTTGAACGCCCTCCGCACCAAATACTTCCCGCCCGAACGACTAAAGGTGCCCGCCCACCTGACGCTCTTCCACGCCTTGCCTCATTCCGAAATGGATGCGATCGTCGGGACCGCGCAGGAAGTGGCCGGGCAGACGCCGTCGTTTGAGGTCACGACCGGCCGCGCGTTCAAGCTGGGCAAAGCCGGCGTCGCGATCTCGCCGGAGCAAGGGACCGAAGAAGGTGCCGCCGTCCACGCAGCGCTGCGAGAACGTTGGTCCGACTTCCTCAGCAAGCAAGACGCGAAGGGCTTCAAAGCGCATTGGACCGTCATGAACAAGGTCGAAGACGAGGAAAAGGTCGACGCAGCGTTCCGAGAGGTGCAGGACTGGACACGCGAACGCGGCGCAAGCGGACAAGCCGACGGACTGGTACTGTGGCGGTATAATCACGGGCGGTGGGAGTTTGAGCGGGAGTTTGCGTTCTCCTCCGGAGCGAGATAGACAAAAGGTTGATACATTTTCCGTAGAGTCAAAAAGTGTCTACCGCAGCGTGACCGAGTCAAGAGAATGATATGGAGAGAGAGTCTATACAGCAGGCGATCCTGCTCACGAGGACGAACCGTCTCGTCCGTGTTCTGGGCGTGCGAGATGGAGCGGGCTGACGGGGGGTGCTGGACCGCTTTCGCCGTCCGACGCCTGGTGCTCACCGCTCGGCTGCTGACCCATCATGCCGCCCGATGGAGGTCCGTACATGCTCATGCTCGGCTGCTGAGTGTGCCCGGGCATGAAGCCTCCGAATTGCGAACCGCCCATGAACGTGGGGGAGGCGGGGATGGCCGGTGCGCCGCCGTAGCCAAACGGACTCGCGGCGAACGGCATGCTCGTCATCGGTCCCATCGACGACATGGGCGGCATCGAGGCATGCGCGAGAGGCGGCGACGTCGCTCCGGGAGACGAGAACTGCGCCATGGCGGCGAGGTAGGCCTGCTGGGCGGCCTGTTGTGCAGCCTGTTGAGCGGCGGCTTGAGCGGCAAACATCGCTTGCTGCTGCTGATAAGCAGCCTGTTGCACGAGAGAGCGAGAATGAGCACATCGCCACTTCAAACAATCTAGACGAAAGGCAACTCACCGCAGCGGCGTTGGCGTCCCCGCTGTGTTGCGGCTGCAGGACGGGAGAACCGCCGCCGGGCGCGCCCATCTGCGAGCCCGGGAACCCGCCGAAACCGGCCATGCTCGGCGCCATCCCTCCCATCCCGCCCATCATCCACGGGTTCGATCCGCCAAAGCCCATGCTGCCCATCGCCATCGGGTTGAAGCCGCCGCCGAATTGCGCCATCTGCATTTGCTGTTGCATCATCGCCAGCTGCTGCTTCTGCAACTCGTCGAGCTGCTTCTGACGTTGCTCGGCGAGCTTGCGCTCTTTCTGCTGCTCGGTCAAGGCGCGGCCGACGCCGCCGGTCCGCTCCTTCTCGCGCTGGTGCGAGGTGATGGCGCCGACGAGTCCGGTCTGCGGCGGCGGGACCTTGGACGGGAGACTGACGAGGGTGCTGCCGGCATCGCGTGCGGCGTATTCCTGGGCGCGAGCGGATCGCTCCTCCTTCTCGAGGATGCCGGTCGCGAGCAAGCCGTGCGGGTTAAGCGCCGGCTTGCGGTTTCCGACCTCTTCGGGCACCTCGTTCCGAGTAGACGGAGCGATCGAAGGCGCTCCAGATCCCTGGTCGTAGACGGAGTGCCGACTGGCGGTCTCGTAGCCCGGTGCGCGTTGCGGCGAGTGGTTAAATTGCCGCGGTACCGGCGGCGGCATCTCGGCCGACGTGCCGTGCGAGACGGGCGTGGCGTCGCGTGAGGTTCCGCGTAGACTATGGGAGGACGTCGAGGGTTGAAGCTGCGGTTGCGATGTAGACGGACGCAGGCGTTGCTGTGAAGTCGAGGCCGGAATCGGTTGAGACCGCTGCGCAGGAGGTTGATCTTCGTCGTCGTCCGAGTCT